AACTCTCCAACACACTCTCCAACCAACCCACACCACCATGCCGTCTCTCTCCTCCTATATAGTCCTCCACCAATCCGTGCTCTGCTACCCACACGCCGAGCGCGCTGCTCTCCTCCAATCAGGAGCGGCTCTTGCAGCTTATCAAGTTGGTAAGAGGCAGCTGGGTAGAAGCTGTACGCTCCTCTCCCAGTGCCACATTGTGGGAGAGCAGATGCATAGAATAAGTCTTAATTCCAGTAACAGTATAGTCCGAGTTGCTCCCCACACACAGTAATGACCATTTGGGATATGGGCTTCAACAAGTTCATGAAAAATTCATTTTATGAAAAAATATACATAGTTTTATTTTTTTTTGTACCAAAATAAATTTATCATTAAATTTTATTTTCCATGAACTTTTGGAAGTTATGCTTGGAGTTTCTGGATGTCTTATCTATGAGCATCCCAAAGTCAAAGGCAATGTGTATTTTATTTCTGAATCACTACAAATTGAGTGTGTGGTAGCCCTCCTCCTTCTCTTCTTCTTTTTTGCCTTATACTTCTTCTATATGAATTACAGAGACTCAGAAAAGTTGAGAGACTTGCCCCCAATCACACAGATTGTAAGAGAGAGCTAAGACTGACCGTAGTTCTGGGAGACCTTAGTACCTTTGTTTGGGATCTATCCACACACACTGGCTACTTGTCAAGACTGGAGCTCATCCCAATCTCAAAATTCATCAAATCCCTACCCACTGCAAAGGACTGCTTCATGTTGCCGATGGAATGATCCACATCAAGGGCCCTCTTGATCTCGTTTCACCTTAAACCCAGGACAGAGGGGTATGGATCTACGTGGCACAACCTGGTTCCTTCTGACCTACTGATCCCATGCAGAAAGGAGCCTTCCTGTCTGAATGTGTGAATGCCCCATGTACCTGGTCTTGTTCTGATTGTCAGACCCACCGCCATTCTCATCTGTTTCTGATGTGCACATTGAGCTGTGGGCACCCTCCTGAGACCAGGGCACCTGGGAGCCAGCAGGTGTCCAGAGTGGGACTCAGCCGCACTAAAAGATCATGCTTCTGTTGTTTGCCTACTCTTTCTTGCTCAAGGTTTACTGCTGTTATAAATGCTGAAGAGTGATCACCATGGTGACAATGTAGTACTTTATGATTTACTCATTCAACATGCCTTTACTGCACTTACAGAATTAATAGTCCCCATTTTTTAGCCTGACTGTATTCCAGGTACTCTGCTAAACATTTTGCATACCTTATCTCATTTAATTCTCATAGCAATCCAAGAAGGGGAGCTTTATCTCCATTTAGTGATAAGAATCCTGATCCCCAGGGAAGATAACTGACTTGACCAAGGTCACGCAGCTTGTAGAGCCAAAACATGAACTCTGGGCCGTCTCACACCAAAGCCTAGTCCGTGTCTCTTACCCACTGCTCCCCGCAGCTCCATGAAGGAGCCTCAGTGTGATCTAGGTTCAGTGAGATACAGCCAGGAGGCTGCAGTGTACTGAATTTTTGTGCATATAAACATGAAAGAGGGCACCAGCAGCCGTGAATATATCTGAGAACGTGTAGGAAGCAAGAAGCCTGGAAAACCAGGCTTGCAGAACTCAGATAAGCAAGTGGCCTTTCCTGAGAGCTGTGCGTGCAAATAACAGTGAAAGGACTCGCATTTGGGCTTGATTCGGGGCTCGATTCACTTGGTAGCTGTCGCTGTGAGCGGAGGCGGACAGTTGGCATTTATGGCACAGCATTGCACACAGACCAGCGCCTGCTCCCAGATAGCAGGAGGGAAGCAACTGCTCGTGCACGCAGCATGTCCAGCTGCCCGACCCACTGGCTTTCCCGAGGTTGCTTAGGTGTTTACTGAGGGCCTGCCATGCACCAGGCCCAGCTCAGGGCTGCTACAGGGCAAATGGAAATGGATAACACATGGACCCTTGCCTCGGGGCCCAGTGATTGATGCTTGAGCACAGGCCCTGACTCTACCTCCCAGGAAGTGGTGGAGCAGGAGAGGGTGAACGCTTCCATAGATGCACCCACCAAGAAGGGGAAGTGAGCTGCTGGAAGTCACCCAGCAGTAAACAGAAACCAGAAGAGAGCATTCTGCCCTAAGCCATATCCATTTCGTGCACCGTTTTATCCCCAGCACCCAGTTTACAAGACCTGGCACAAAGCAGGCACTCAATAACTGCCGAGTGAGCGAATCACTTCAGAGATCCCTGCGAGAGGGGGGATGCATGCTGGGGCGGTGCGAGATGAAGGGCCCTTTGCAGCCTTGCCCCTTTATCTTCCCCGTGGGAAGCACAAGGAGAATCCCCAGGACCAGGGGGAAACGTGCACTGCTCACTCAGGCAGTCGCGGTTCCTTCCGGGGTGAGCGGTGAGGCAGGGCTCCCATTGCAGAGCTCCCCGTGCAGAGCTCCTCCTTCAGGAACCTGGGCAACACCAAGGTGCCCTTTCTTAAGGTGCTCAGGGTGGAACTGGGGAAGGGAAGGAAGGACCCACAGCTCTGGCTCCAGGCAGGCTCACAGAGGCCTGCATCGGCCTATGGTCTCCAGGCCCCCAGATGGTGTGTCAGTGTGTTTTTCATGCAAACCTACCCTGCAGAACCTTACCCTGCTGCCTCCTGGAGGCAGCAGGATGGGGATGTAGGTAGGCCAGCCCAGGGAAGGAGATGCAGGTGGGAGATATGGGTTGCCTGCTGCAAGTGTTCCAAAGGAGAAGAGAAGTTGGGCAAGGAGAGACCAAGGAAAGCTCCCTGGATGGAGTAGCAGCTGAGTGGAGCATCAAAAAATAGAGAGGATTTGGACCAGAACCTGCCTTGTCGGCATGGGAGAATCTCCTTCTATAAGTTCGTTTTTAGATTTCTGAGCAGGGATCTTATCCTGGAAATCTCATCATTGCAGGACTCTGGACAGTCATCAAGCCAGAGCCTGGTGTCCTCACTTAGTCACAGAGCAAACGTCCACAGGTTGTGGCTGGGACCTCAGGTGCTGCTCCCCTCACTGGGCGTCTTTTTGCTGCCCTTGGCCATGGACCAACAGAGTCCAGGACGGGGCCTGTGTCTCATGCAAAGCCACCAGGTGTCTGATCGACAGAACTCAGGCTATGACTTTACAAGGACCACTCACTATTGGTTGCGTGCCTCAGCCTCCTCATCTATAAAATGGGAATGATGCTACTACTGACCTCTGGGGTTGCTGTGAGGGTAGGAAAGTTGAGGATGTGAAGCACACATGGTCGGCGCTCCAGTAGGTAAGAGGGCAGCAACTATTAATGCCCATGAAGTGAAACCTAGGACAGCGCAGGAGTGAGGACTGAGTCACCCTTCTCTGCTGACCCCTTGCCAACCGTTGGACAGTAGGGGCTCAGTCACTGCCTCTCTCTGCTCTGGTGCCCTGGCCTGCAGCTCCCAGGACGAGCGGCTAAGGGGTGGGGAGGGAAGGCCACCTATCCCTGAGCAGGACCTTCTGCCTGGACAGGTTGTGTTGGCTTCTGGGATCTCTGCTACCCTCGAGGGTCGCCCCCACTGGCTCCCTTCTAGTCCAGGACTTCAGCATTGCACATCTTCCAGGGGGTACCCTTCCCATTGTTTGGGCTTCCTGGGCACCCTTATTGGAACTGGAGGTTCAGCCTTAGCAACTCCCCTGGCCTCTGGTGGAAAGGAACAGCAGGAGCAGGCAGAGGGGGCCGGGGAGAGATGAGGCGGGCAGTATGGATCAGGTTCCGGGGGGCTTTGTCGGCCCAGTGTGGGCATTGTGCTGGAAGTAGCAGCTTGTACAAGGCCGTGAGCCACTCAGAGTGGTTTCTGTTTCTCTGCATCCCTCCCCTGCCTCCTCTCCCCCAGTTCCCCACCAGATCTGCTCTATAACACTTTGCCATAGAAGATTGGATTACCTAAGAAGCAGAGTGACGCGTCGTACACTAAACATATCAGTAACACTGATAGCGTCTCCCACTTGGTTGTGCTTGATGGTTTCCAGAAAGCTGTCTCCTGATGGGAGGGGGTGCACTGCCTCCGGAACACTGCGTCTGCGTCTGCCTCGGTTTGAGTCCCATCCTCTCTCTCTCTCTCTGTCTCTCTCTCCCTCTCTCTTCCTCTAAAATACGTGATTGTTGGCAGAAACAGATGAAGCCAAATGCTTCATAAACTGTGAACCTGGAAACAGCTCCCACGCGACGGCCCGTTCCATTTCCCTCTAGCTCTGTGATCCCCATAATAAACCATTCTGTTTTAGAGATGTGAAGACTGAGGGGTGGAGTGACTTGTCCGTAGTCAGGTACACGTCAGGAGGCAGCATCTGGCCTAGGATCCGATTTCTCGTCTTCTTCACCCTATAGGTTGTTCAGCTTTGAAAGACCCTGTGCTGGGTTGTAGAACAGAGCTTGGCACGCAGTAGGTGCCCAGAAAATCCCAGTGGTGGTTTTTGAGCACCTGGACACCAGCTTGGCTCACGGTACTCAGGGGCTGCCTGATCTAAAACTCCGCCAGTGCCCAGGCGTGCGCCGGCCATGGTCCCGTCCTGGTTTGCCATGGTCTTAGATGGATGACCATCCAAGGGAACTGTTACATAGGAGTGTGCCTCATTTGCCGTGCACTGTTGGACACAGTCAGATGTTCCCAGGACGTTACCGAGGGCTCAGGAAGCAGGTGACTGGCCCCACCCCGGAGCTCCACAACTTCCAGCCCCAAGAAGTCCCCAGGTCTGGGACCACCCTGGAAAACCCAAAGCCTGAAAGTATGAAAGAAACCTGTGCAGCTGGTGACCTGGGCAGTTCATCTTTACTTTGTGCATTCTTGGCTAAGAGAACACCTGTGTCTGCTCCAAGATACAGGTCCAGCACCCAGCGTGACAGGCGCTCAGCGGTAATCGCCTGCTGAATAAGTAGGGATGGCCCACGTGGCTCAGGACACTTGGCCGTGCCCATCGCGCTCACATCCCTGGGACCCCCCCCCTCTCCAGCCAGGGTACAATGACCATGCCTGTTTGTGCCCTAGATCACCCAGGCGGCCTGCAGAACCACCCACGGCTCCGGACCCCGCCGCCGCCACTCTCGCACGCCCACACCCCCAACCAGCACCACGCGGCCTCCATCAACTCCCTGAATCGGGGCAACTTCACTCCCAGAAGCAACCCCAGCCCGGCCCCCACAGACCATTCGCTCTCCGGAGAGCCCCCGGCCAGCGGTGCCCCAGAACCGACGCATGCGCAGGACAACTGGCTACTCAACAGCAACATCCCACTGGAGACCAGGTGTGGGCCGCGAGGGACTGCAGGGCAGGGTGGGGGCGGCAGCGCTGAGGCCCTGGGCCATGTCCCCACCACCCGCTGGGCGCATGGGATGGAAAGAGGCGGTGGGGTGGAGCATAGGAAGAGGGTGGGCTTTGGAATCCTGCAGGCCAAGATGTGGTGCTAGCCGGCTGCTGACCAAAGGTAGGGCCTTGGTCAAGTTCCTGGAGCCTTAGGGGGTTCCCTTCCCATGTCTGTACATCATGAGGAGGCTGGCTGGCCAGGACTGGCACCAGATAAGAGCTGGTGTATGGGAAGGTGTTAGTGTGGCATCCCTTGGGGCAGGCAACTGTACCTTTCTCTGAGATGGTTCTCCACCCTGGGCTGGTGGTGGTGCATAGCACACTCCCGGCTCCCCACCGCTCCTCCTCCCCAAGCAGTCCTTAGCAGGTACACGCCAGCATTTGGTCACAGGGCCTTCCCTGCGTGTCACTCTGTGCAATCCTCACACCTTCATGGGTTTTCTTGTTGGGACCCGCAGGTAGGAGTTTTGGAAGCTGAGAGTAAGACTGTGTTGCTCACTAGCTCAGGGTCGCAGATGGGTAATGCACAGCTAAGATTTGAACCCAGTTTGCCAGACTCTCCTGCATCTCCCGTGTCCCCACCACCACCACCACCACCTCCCTGTGGTCTCTCCTCCTGCCCCCTTCTCCCAGCCTCCCTGTAGCAGGTGTCCCGCAGTCTGAGTTTATAGAGACACCTTCCCTCTGCTTAGCCACTGTTTTTCCAAAATGGAGTTTTGTTGTGATGGTGAATAGTTTCTATCGAAAAAAACTGCAGAAAGGTGTACAGACGAAAGTGAGATTTACCCATCGTCTCACCAGTCTAAGTGCTGTGAGCCCACAGGGCACAGCTTCACCCTACGTTCTCCAAAGGTGAACCGTCCCAGACTGGTGCACGTGGACCCTCTTCCTTCCTAAGGTAGAAGGAAACAAAGGCTTTATTTTCCCAGGCTCCTGTTCTTTGTGCAGAGAACAAAAGTCACAGCACGTTTAAGAAAGTGAAGGTAACCTAGACGTGGAAAGTGACTTCATCTGGCCCTGCCTGACATGTCTCTGTGCTGTTGGCACGTTAACCCTATGGAGTCCAGCCAGAGAACAGCAGCCTCCCCATGTGCCTTTGACTTCTGTAGACGTGTTTTTCCACAAGCACAGTTCTGAGAGATGCAGCCCCCATCAGCACCCTGGCCCCAGTTTCCAGATGAATGTTGTTCCTGCTCATGGGCTTCAGAGTCGTGTGCCCTTTGCCTGTTGCCTCCTTTGGGGGCAGCGATCACAGAACCAGATAATTGTCATCCCGCCCAGGGTTGTTGGACTGGGTCTCCATTTTCCCAGGGTGCTCAGTGAATGGCTTGTGGCAGCAGGAAGCCAGCAGCTAACTGGTGCTTCCTGTTCTCTGTGTGGGCCACGGCCTCCACGCCCTCTTGCTTGGATGTTCATTGTCCTCACTTGCAAGGAAAGTAGCGCTTACTCCTTTGAGCCTCTGGGTTTGCCCAGGGAAAGGGAGCCAGAAGACAAGAGACACAAATGTGGCCCCAGCTCGCCTCTCCTGGCCCGCCAGCCCACGCTCACCTCCCACTTCCATTGCACACACCCTGTGGAACTTTGTCCTCTTTTTCCTTGCATCTTATTACTCAAGCAATAGATGCTCATTATAGAACGGATAGGAAATGGAATAAGGAAAGAAAATCACTATGTCCACCTCCAAAAGGTAACCACAGTTAGCATGTAGGGATATCTTTGAATATGCCATTTTACATGTGCAAATATAACAGAATTACACGTTTAACATTCCGTGTGTTTGGATGTTCAGCAACATTTCCTCCAGGCCCTGGACCTTTTGGGACTCTGCCTCTGCACACACTCTCACACACCCTGCCAGGGCTGCCCTCCTCCTCACCTCTTGTTCTGGCCGCGTCCTACTTATTCTTGAAGCCCCAGCTGAGAAATCGGAGGAAGCCTTCCTCTGTGACCCTAAAGTTCTGTGCATTGAAGGACGGCCTGAAACAGGGACAGGTGCCCAGTACAGCCAGTAACGCAATCAAGATTCTGGCTCTTAACACTGCCTTGGCCTGGTTGATGGCACAAAACTAACTGGGCGCCGTTTAAGAGGGATCAGAGTGAAGTCTGGCAGATGGACTCATCAGCTGTCCTGTTGGTGGGAAGAACACAGGCTCTGAGGGCAGGTGGCTCCTCATTCCTGCCTCGCTTTGACCCTTCGTGGCTGATCTGTGTGTTGGAATCAGACTCCATGCCTTTCAGAGATTAGGAGACAGCACATGAGATACCATGTAGGAATTCACACAGCCCAGTGCCTGCCATCCAGAAGTCACACTAGAAATGGTATTTCCCATTCTTTCGGATAGTTACACTTCCCATATCAACCCCATAAAGAAAAAACTCATTCAAAAATATTTTTTTGGCCACTATGCATCATAAGAGTTGAGAGGAAATAGCAGATTCTACTTCTTCTCTACTTTGGAGGAGGAAGTTTGGCCCCGACGTTCCAGGGCTTAAGTGACTGTGCAGCCAGCGTGGCAAGTTGCTCCAAGCCCAAGTGGCAGGGCCAGACACGCCCTGTGCTCGAACCCTTTCCCTGTTGCTTACTAGCCAGGACCTTGATGGTGGCAGTAACTTCCTGTTCTGATGCTCTGTGTGAGCACAACTAACGAACGACTCCAAAACTTAGCAGAAAGCATTGGTTGATTGGTTAACTTCACCACAAGATTTAGGAGTTGAGGAGAGGCTCAGCTGGGCTGTACTCATGCTCCCTCTGGTGTGGGAGTCAGTCCAGGGCATGGACTGGTCTCAAGGCTCCAGGATAGCTTCACACATACGCCTGACACTTTGGGGTGGGGAGCACAGTTGGAAAGCGGGGACCTCTCGTGGAGTCCTAGCAGGGTTCTTATACTTCATACCCGGCAGCTCAGGGCTCCAGGCACTGAGGTGGAAGTCATCGTGTCTCCTCAAGGTTTGGCCTGAAACTGGCAGTGTCACTTCCATCATATTCTGTCACTCAGTGCAGCCATGGGCCGGCCACCTTCAAGAGTATGGGAAGCAGGCCCCACTTCTCAATGGGACAGGTGCCAAAAAATGTGTAGCCAGCCTTAACCCACCACACCAGCACGTAAGGCTGTTGTAGAAGGGACGTTATGATGGTATCAGCATACAGTCAGTGCTCAAGCATACTACTTACTGTTTAGTGCTTCTTGTGAACTCACTGTTCGCTGAATGCCTAAAATTGTGCCTGGCAAGTAAGGCGGTACAGAGAGCAGACATTTGCAAACAGATGAGCACTGTGGGAGAGGTGAGCATAGGGCATGGGCTGAGGCTTCATTGTCTGTGCTGCACACAACATGGGACTGCTGCAACCTAGTGGGTGTGGGATGATAAATGTTAGCATGCAGGTGAATGAGAGAACGAACAGATGTAACTGGGACTCAAGTGGAGACATGGGAAGGCTCTCCAGGGGCCCTGGCCCTGTGTGGCCCAGGGTTGAAGAGCTAGTGGGAGGCTCCCAGGTGGAGGAGGAGAGGACCGGAGGACCCAAGACGGGCACTGTCTGAGCAAAGCCCTAGGCGTCAAGGGAGCAGGGCCTGTGTGAGCATATGCCTAAACAGCTTGTGCCCAGCCCCATAGAGTGAGGGCCCCTGGTGCCGGAGAAGCAGTCAGAGGCCCTTCCCTAATTGTCTGTGTTGAGAGTCCAAAGTAAATAGCCGAACAGATATCACAGCAGCTGGAGGGATGACCGGGAAGGATTTCGATTTCACGCTGGCAGCAATAGACAGGCCAACAGAAGGTCAAAAGGGAATGAAGCCTTTGGTAAACCCACTCCTCTCTCTGTACTCCCCACAGCTCGGGCACTCCCCGAGGTTAGCTGGATCCCCCCAACAGAGCCCCGCCTGGGCCTACCTGTGCTCCCTGGAGCTGGGCTACGATGGTGCTTTTAGCCCCACAGGTGCATCTGTGATCTGCTGTGGTGGGAGCCATGTGTTCAGGGTCTCCCAAGCCTTGATCCACATTTTCTGCGCTCTGCAACAGCCGACGCTTAATTGATTTCACAGGGACTGTCTGATTAATAACCCTCCCAGCTCCTGTGGAGTGGCTACCAGCCCCGCCTCTGGTTCATCTGATCTCAAGCCTGGGTTGGGAGCCAGAGGAGTGTTGTGTGTTCACAGTGAATTTGGGGAACAGCCCTGCCTGGTGTGATTTCCAGAATGGCCCCCAGTACAGAGAGTCGGGGTGGGAGGTCTTCCTTGTCAGAGAGGGATACTGTCGCAGACCTGCGCGTAAAGCGTAGCACGCTGCCATCCAAGCTGCCTGTGGTCCGTTAAGGGAGACAGACCCATAAGTAAATGAAGGCGGGCATTGCAGGCAGTGCTCACACAGAGGGAATGCTCAGAGCAGAGAGCAAGGTGCAGATCCCTCTGCTTGGGAGCATCAAGTGACAACCATAGCAAACATTCTAGAGCCTGCTTTGGACCAGCCAGGTGCTGTTCTGAGCACTCCATGCATGTTAACCCTTTCATCCTCACACCTCTCCCTTAAGGCGGTGGATCTGGGTCCCCAAGCCACCCCCAGGCTTGATGATTTACCAAGAGAACTCACAGGACTCACGTGTAGCCTTAGTCGTGCCTCTGATTTATTGTGATGAAAGAAAACAAAGCAAAATGAGCATTGGGAAAAGATATACAGCCTCAGTCCAGGGGGCCCAAACTTTCAAACAAGGCAGAAGCTTCCAGAATTCTCTCCCATGGAGTCGCACAGGGTGCACCATATTCCCTCTGCAGCAAATTGTGACAGTGCATGAGGAAGGATGCCCACCCGGGGCTGCTCATGACAGCCTCAATGCCCAGGGATTATCTTGGGAGCTGGTCACACAGTCACTCCTTGCCCAGCAAGTCCTCAAATTCCAAGTTCACGGAAGGAAAGCACAGCCCTAGGGCTTGCACCAAGGAGTTACTCTTAGTGGGGAAGGCACAGTGAGTTGCTCTTAGTGGGGTAGCCCTCCTAGAAGCTGAGCTCCAGATGCCAGCCAAGGGCAGGCTCTGTTAGCAGGCCTCTCAAAGGACAGTGGGCAAGGTCACTGCCTTCACTCTCTATGCAGGAGGCAGAGACCTCCTGCATAGATCTAAAAGCATCTAAAGCACAAAGGATCACATGGGCACAAAGGACCAATGGCCAGAAGGGGCAAGGCCAAGATGCATACCCAGGCTGGCCGGCTCCAGAGCCCATGCACCTCATCGCCATGCAGTGTTGTCTCATTGGTTGCTATTAATTGCTTCTCAGGGAGTGCATTGGTAGGACTTAGAAAGGGGAGAAAGGAATTCTGAGCTGCAGGACAGTTAGACAAAGGCAGGGAACTGGGAGAGAGCTAGGTTCAGGAGAGATGGCAAAGGCCAGGTGTCCTGAGAGCACAGGGGGTGGCAAGAGGATGTGAGGAATGCAGATGGAGGTCAGCAGAGGGGTCTCGAGTTATAGGAAAAGGAGGTTTCAGGGCCTGGTATTGTGACACAGTGAGCTCAGCTGCGGGCATCCCTTTGGGAGCACCGGTTTGAGTCCCAGCTATTCCAATTCCAACCCAGCTCCCAACAACCACCTGGTCCAGCCCCACTGCAGCCATTTGGGGAGTGAACCAGCAATGGAAGATCTCTCACTCTCCCCTTCAAGTTAATGAATTAGATAGTAGCAGGTTTCACTTTTCCCTGGGGACTGGTGATGGTAGAAGTGGAGGTGAGTAGCTTTCCCATATCTTTCTAAACAGAGGATGGGCCATGTATTTATGTGAGAGGCAGAGAGACGGGCAGCTAGAGCTCCCATCCACTGTTTTACTCCCAGATGCCTGCAGTAACTAGGGTTGGGCTGGGGCCAGAGCCAGGAACTCAATCCCAGTCTCCTGCATGGGTGGCAGCAACCCAAGTACTAGAGCCATCACCTGCTGCCTCCAGAGTGCACATTCACAGGAAGCTGGACTCAGGAGCTGGAGCTGGGATTCAAACCCAGGTCTTCTGATCTGGCACACAGGCGTCTTAACCCCTAGGCTAAAACCCCACATCCAGTCTCGCCTTCTAAAAGGATCACTGTGGCCTAATTCATTTTGTTGTTGTTGTTTCTTTGTTCATTCATTCACTCAAATACCAGCAGGTCTGTATCTAGCTCTTTGTGTGGTCTTGGCTGAGTCACTGACCCCCCTGCTATAGAACATGGGGGTGATCCCTGCCTGTCCTCCCACTGAGAGTCAGCTGCCAGGTGGCTTGCCCAGGGCAGATGCATGGTCCATGGCAGGGGGCTCGTTGTGGCGATGTTCCAAGAACCGCTTCCTTCTCCAGAGCCATTTGCTCAGTCCTTGTGCTCCGCAGCCTTGAGCTAGGAATTGGGGCCCCCAAGTTTTGGATTCAGTCTGCTCTGGGTCAGAGAGAGGGGACTGGAAGCCCCAGCTTGGCAGCTCGGGGACTAGGCCAAGGCTTCCCGCAGATCCAGTGCCATCTGCACTCTCAGGGCTGCTAGAGCAGCACAGCTCTTGGCTGGACTCCCCTCTCCAAAGACACAGTAACCTCTTCCTCCTCCTCTCACTCACTCGCTCGCTCGCTCTCCCTCCCTCCCTCCCTCCTTCTCTTTTTTAAGATTTATTTATTTATTTATTTATTTGAGAGACAGAGTTACAGAGAGAGAGGGAGAGACTGAGAGATCATCCATCTGCTGATTCACTCCCCAAATATCCACTACAGCCTGAGTTGGGCCAGACTGAAGCCAGGAGCTTCTTCCAGGTCTCCTACATGGATGCAGGGGCCCAAGCACTTGGGCCATCCTCTGTTGCTTTCCCAGGCCCATTAGCAGGGAGCTGGATCAGAAGTGGAGCAACCAGTGGCCCTATGGGATAACAGCACCGTATGTGGTGGTTTTACCCACTGTGCCCCTGTGTCGGCCCCTGCACTAACTTTTCTGAGAGGCAGCTCGGGGCTGTGAGGTCACAGAGAACTGGTATGAGTCTCATCTCTGCCTTCCTTGTTGAGTGACCCTGGGCTGTCACTTAGCCTCTATGGACCTCAGTCTCCGTAATCTGGAAATGAGGTGATAACACCCACTCTTGTGAAGGTCAGAAGTGTCAGGGGCCTGTCCCTGAGGTCGCAGCAGCCAGTGCGGGCCTGTGACCCAAGGAGGGCTTCTCAGCTCAGGGTCCTCCTCGAGAAGTCCTCATTAGCTTTTGCTTCTCAGATGGAGAGATCACTCAGTGTCAGAGGTGGAGCACAGGTTAGGAAATTGAGGGAAGAGCCTTGAACCTGGGGTCAGGACACTCAGGTCTAAGTTGTAGCTCTGTCACTGACAGCAGGGCACATGGTTCTCTGAGCCTCAGTTTCCTCATCAGTTAAATGAAACCAAATAATTTGAGCCAGAACCAAGTTTTAGCAGTACAGGAGAAGCCTGTTTCAGAAATAGCATTCTAGCCGGCGCCGTAGCTCAATAGGCTAATCTTCCGCCTTGCGGCGCCAGCACACCGGGTTCTAGTCCCAGTCGGGGCACCGGATTCTGTCCCAGTTGCCCCTCTTCCAGGCCAGCTCTCTGCTGTGGCCCGGGAAGGCAGTGGAGGATGGCCCAGGTCCTTGGGCCCTGCACCCACGTGGGAGACCAGGAGAAGCACCTGGCTTCTCGCTTCAGATCAGCGTGATGCGCTGGCCGCAGCTCACCTGCCGCGGTGGCCATTGGAGGGTGAACCAATGGCAAAGGAAGACCTTTCTCTCTGTCTCTCTCACTATCCACTCTGCCCGTCAAAAAAAAAAAAGTAGCATTCTGCATAGCCACGCTCAGCAAGTGCACACATCACCTCCCCTTCTGACATGATCTAAATGGTAAATGCCTGAGCTAGCACGAGGGTGCAGGTTCTTGCTGAAGATCAGACACCCTGTCTCTCTCTCTAGAAATCCTTTTTTTAAAAAAATTATTTATTTTATTTGAAAGAGTTACAGAGAGAGAGGGGAAAAGACAGAGAGGGGGGGATCTTCCATCCACTTGTATACTCTCCAGGTGGCTGCAATGGCCAGGGCTCGGCCATGCTGAAACTGGGAGCCAGGAGCTTCTTCCAAGTCTCCTGTGTGGGTGGCAGGGGTCTAACACCGTAGGTGGCAGGTGTCCAACACTTGGGCCATCTTCAGCTGCTTTCTCAGGTGCATTAGCAGGGAGCTAGATTGGAGGTGGAGCAGCCAGGACGTGAACCAGAGTCCATATGGGATGCCAGCACTGAAGGCAGCAGCTTGATCTGCTACTCCACAGGGCCTGCCCCTCCTCTAGTCTATTTCATTGCTTCCCCCCTTATCCTAACAGATCTGCACATTGGGGAGACAGTTGTAGTCAGCTTTTTCCCTTTGTCAAAGTAACTGTTTCTTTTCAAATTATCAAAGTTAAAATAAAAATCACTCAATTCAGGCACTCAGTAACCCCCATCGTTAACATTTTGATCTTTATTCTTTCCTGTGAATATTTGTTTCTGATTGTTTCAAGGGATAGCTTTGACTCTCCGGGAGCACAGTCGCAGCCTGGTGATGCAGGTGTGATGGGGGACATGCCTGCCTCGGGTCCCAGGGAGGCATCCGGAGCTCTTGGGCCTGCTCACCCTGGGCCATGCAGGCTGTGGGGAGACCAGAAATTCCCTCCTGAATTGCTGGAATGTCATCTGCTGCTGACTTCAATGAAGCACCAACTGTATGCCTGCTATAGGCTAGGCACACTCCCCTGGTATACCCTGAATTCAGAAGTAGAAGGCAGCAAGATATTACAAGACCTTGTGGGCTGAGGTAGGGACTTTGGTTTTGTTGTAAAAGGCTTGTGTTGAGAGCACAGATGTGATCTGATCCAGGTAATACTTTGGGTTCCATCAAGGGGGGCGATTAGCCCTTTTAGGGAGTCTTAGGCTCAAGGGTCAGGGAATGGGAAATCCAGGACCCAAACCCACAGCAGTCTGGACTCAGGGCTGTGTGGCCTCCCGCTAGGCCACCCGGCCTACCCTCAGCAGGGTCACCTGCCTGGAGGTGGAAATAGAGCCTGTCTGTGGGCTGCCAGGCCCCGCTGCTCCTCCCTTGCTTCGTGGGAGGCCTTGGGGCTCAGATCCCTGCCACCCCTGCAGTGCTTCATGGCTGCTTTGTGGCCCCGGCTGCTCAGCAGTGTTTCCTTGTGCCCTCTCTGTCCCCTGGGCTGTTCGTGGAATGGAGCTTGCAGGAAGCGGGGGGCAGCCCAGCTGTGTGCAGCTCTCTGGGTGACCCTGGACTCCAGTTGGAGACCCAGTGCTCTAGAAGACACTGGTCAGAAGTGCTTGACTTCCTTTTTCTTCAGACCAGGAAAGGGAGTGTCTCCAGCTGCTGTTTACACAGACATAGGCAGCATCAAGTAGAGGAGAAAAGCGCAGGCTTTGGAACCAGGCAGCCCTGAGCTTGGATTCCTACCTTGCCCCTTGCTGGCTAGTGACCTTGGCAAGTCCCGTTTCCTGTCCACATCTCAGTGTTCTCATCTGTGTGAACATGGGGGTAACTTGGCCTTTGGTGAAGGTTGGAGAGAACGGATGTAACCTGCCTAGCTCAGTGCCAGAGCCGTGTCAGTCTCCCATCAGGCAGAGCTGTGAGTGATGGCGCACGACTCCCAGGCCTTCGGGTTTGTACAGCAAATTGCTCCCTCCGGCTGCTCTGTGCCAGGTGGAGCCCTTGCACATGTGGCTTGCACACCGACCCATCGCTGGCCTCACGCACGGCTGCACCAAACAGCCACTTGGTGTGTTTCTCTATCCCCCCCTTCATCGATGCATGCATGACTCATGGCTTCATTCATGTCTCCATGTGTGCGTAGAAACCTAGGCAAGCAGCCATTCCTAGGGACATTGCAGGACAACCTCATTGAGATGGACATTCTCAGCGCCTCCCGCCATGATGGGGCTTACAGTGACGGGTAGGTGACATTCCCATGCTCCTCCCCCTGTGTGTACTTCCCCCTGGACCCCTGTCCCCGCATGCCGACCCTGAGACCTTTCCCTGGGCTCTCCTGGGGGAGGTGATGCCCTGTTGCATGCTGGCCCCAACATCCCTGTTCACCTTGGAGCACCCTGTCCCCCAGCATATTAACAGCCGTCTGCTTAATATGCAGCTCCTGGCATCTCATTGGCTGCTTTCGCCATTCTGGAAACCATCTCATGTAGCAGTTATTTTGGTGGCTCAGGCCCTGTATTGTGTGTACTCTCACCCTGAGTGTGTACTCTGGGACCCCAGGCATCTTGTATCCCAACAGGGGTGGGGGCACCCTGAGACTTTGGGGGGTTATAGGCCCACTTCCTGGGCCAGGTGCGAATCCTCCCATGGCTGCAGTGAAAGCCAGGATCTGAAGGACTTCCGGACACCTGGTTTGGCCACAGCCATGTGCTTTGACCATGCGCTGCTGGGCGGTAGGATGCAGTTGTCCATCTGTCCCCGTGTATAGCTTCTGCCTGGGGCTCGCTCGCAGCTGTCTGGCTTCCAGGCAGAGAGCGTTTGCTGCCATTGGCCATGGAACAGTCACTAGTGGATTCTTGGCTGTGCCCAGAACTTAGTGGGAGTTTCCTTACAGCAACTCTAGTCAAGACCCCTTTAGAAAGATGGGCATTCCAATCCTCAGCCAAGATACACTGGCAATGTAGGTATTGGAGGAGAGGAAAACCTTAGGTCCCATTCCCTTCGGGGGTGTTTTAGATACTTGCCAAGTGATTATAATAATTTTAGAGAATAAGGAGCTTGTTCCTCAGCACACAGCATCCCACACCCATCCATTCCCAGGACGAGGACCTCACTGGCATCCTCTGTTGAGCTGGCCACACCTTCTGCCTCGAGCTGGGTGGGTCTTCCCACAGGCAGGGCTGTCCCATCCGTGTTCTGTGGAGCCGTGTCTTCGTGAGCCCTGTCCTGTGGTTTGGTCCACGGCTCTCCCTTTGCTCGTCCCTGCCGTCTTCGCTGTGGTGACTTCTCTCTCTCCCTCCCTCCCTCCCTCCCTCTCTCTCTCCTCTCTCTCTCTCTCTCTGTGCAGGCTCCTCTGCATGCTTCTCCACTGCTGCCTCTGTCTTGCAGGTGGAGCTGGGCGCCCGGTCGTTCGGCAGAGCCTGACGCCATCTTGCTTCTCTCCCTCCACAGGCACTTCCTCTTCAAGCCTGGGGGCACCTCCCCGCTCTTCTGCACCACCTCGCCAGGGTACCCCCTGACGTCCAGCACAGTGTACTCGCCCCCACCCCGCCCCCTGCCCCGCAGCACCTTTGCCCGGCCAGCCTTCAACCTCAAGAAGCCCTCCAAGTACTGCAACTGGAAGTGTGCGGCCCTGAGCGCCATCGTCATCTCGGCCACGCTGGTCATCCTCCTGGCATACTTCGTGGGTAAGCATCCCTCACCCCAGCTGCCCTCGGCTCCCCCCTGGCCCAGGGGTTAGCAACCAGGCCTCTGTCACAGCCACCAAAGCACACAGAGTGGGCCACGCAGCCCTGGAGAGCTGGCCCGGCCCATACCCCACACAATCCAGGCCAGCTCTTTAGAGCCCTCTTCTCTCCCCTTGGCAGTTCCCCCAAGAAGGGAGCTTAGCCCTGCCCTGTATTTGTTGGGTGCCTGCCTTGAATGTATGCACTCAGTGAGCCTGGCCTTTGCGGTGCGGGCGATGGCGTGTGTATCATGGATTGCAGTCACTGCACATGAAATGACAAGTTGGAGAGGATGCACGGCAGACAAGCCTCTCCAGTCAGTGCTGCATGGCTTCCAGGGGGAGTGAGGAACAGGTGGGGTGCCCTGGGTTTGGAGGGAAATGGCCAGGAAAGCATGTTTGAAGGGGAAGGGCCTGGCAGGCGGTCTGCGAGTACTGGCGAGCCCATGATGGGTGCCATCATGGCAGGGGCTGAGGGAAGTTTCAGCAGAGGGAAACGGATTCCAGTGGGTCACCAACGCTGGCTGAGGGAAGGGATAGACCCAGAGCAACTCTGGCTGTGCACGTCTTATCTGATCCCAGATCACGTACAAGGATACGGCAGTCTCCTCCTGACCCTCTGCCTGCCTGCCCGGCTGCCACAGGGCGGCTCCCACCATGTGTTCTCCTGATGCGTGTCCTAGCACTTGGCTTTCCTACCTCTGGCCTCCTCCCAGCAAAGATGCTAACCTGTAGAGACCTGTGGGTGTGGTGTTGAGTGGGCTGGCCTATGTACATCAGCCTGCCAGCGCAGGCATCCAGGGGGTGGTTGGCTTCACCCTCCGTGTCCTGTGCAGTCGTCCACTCCTCTGGCTCTGAGACCCAAGGCTCGAGAAGGCCTTGAAATCGTGCCGAGGCATTCTGTGATATTTCTGTAAGCAAAAGGGATTTCTTCAGTACCAGCGCAGTAAATCAAAATAGAACTAACTCGCAGACGTCAAAGGAAGACAGAGTGCCTTGTAATAGTCATTGTGGATGAAGAAAAGGGGCTGTCGTGAGAGGTAGTGAGTGCTGTCACCAGGAATGATTAATACAGCAAGAGCCACCACTTCTCCAGGACGTGGAAAAGAGATTCCACATGGATGGGACTATGGGTGATGTAAGCTAGAAAACCACTTTTCTCTCAAGATGTCTGCATTTCATAAAAATGAGTCATCAGAAAGATGCCACTCCTACACATACATGGCGAGACCTTTTTGTGTTGCAGGCTACACTAAGCTGCCTCAAAAGTGTCAGGTCCCTTTTCCTCTCGTGAACATTAGGTTAGAGAATTTCACGGCTCCACAGCCTGCAGGGCATACATGTCGCATCCCTTTTTCTGTGATTGATTAATTGTTGCTGCCTGGAGAGCTGTGTTGAGAAGAATGCTGAGGCTGCATCCATATTCGATTGAATAGAATCCATGTGATTGATTAGTGATGTCTGTTGTGGTCACAGGGGTGGAGAATATGGATGACTTCCCAGGTATTTGCCATTCCTGCTCTGGGTCATTGGATGGAAGGAACAGCCAAACAGGGAGAGGTCAGAGATCCATCCAGGCTTTGTGAGAGGTGCATCATTCATGTAGATTAGGTTTGAGGGTCCAGGTACCATCACCTGGCATGATATTTTCTTATAGCACCACCAGGACTTTGTCCTCAGCAATAACTGGTACAGCTCTTGCTTTTGACTGACACTATCATTCCTAAGTGAGTGGACTTTTGGACAGGCAGTGTCACTGTTGAAGAGTCAGGTGGTTTGCTACACTTGAATGTCTACTTGTTTTGCATTGAACTCTTGAGGTTTTAGGCTGTGTGGTCTAGTTCCAGGAGAGAGAGTGAATATTAACATGATTAAAATCTCTTGTTTTCCATCCCATGGGCTTCTTCCTCTCCCACTGAATGAGAATACAAGGCCACTCTTCAACATCTAAAAAAGGGGCTACTGTGTTAAGTAGTGAGCTCCCTGTCATAGGAGGGGTACGAATAGAACTCAGTAACCACTTAGCAAGAATTATATTCAAGCACTGGCTGGGAGTTTTTAATGTGTGATCTTTAATTATCCTTCCAACATTGACAGTCCTTGAATTAATGATTTTGCAAATTTTATTTTTAATTCAGAAAACCCTAGGGAGTACTGGGTTTAAACAGGCACCATGATAAGTGCTAGGGTTAAAGAGATCATCCCTACCCTTAGGGTGTTTGTAGCTTAAAGGAGGTGACAGCCGCATTAGCAGGTGACTGAAGCAGGGACCTATCTACACAGCAGCTCAGGGGCCCCAGCCAGGAGGACCAGAGAAGGCCCTTAGGAGTGGGGATGCTGGAACTGAATCTCAAAGTAGGAGCTAGCTGGAAGTAGACATCCAGGAAGGCATTTCAAACCAAGAGAACTTTCAGAGACTTGAGAGAGGGATGTGGTGGCGAAGAAATCTCCTGTTTGCAGCATTTGAAGGGTGTGGCAGCCAGTGTAGACGTGTTGCATCCAAGTATGAAGACCAACTTGCAGGTCATGTTGTGGATGGTGCGGGGTGGGCTTTAAGCAGCATGGGACATACTCGGTTTTTTATTCTAGAAGAGGGTAGAGGCAGGAAGCAGCAGAAGGTGGACTGCTCTCGAAACCATTGTACACCAGCCAGGGAAAGCTGAAGGCTTCGTCAGCCTTGACAGTGGCAATGCAGGTGGACAGGGATGCAGACCCAAGGTCAACAGGGGAGATTTGGTATCTCAGGTTCGAGTAGATGGTTCATTTGATAAAGCGTCCTTGCCCCAAATAAATATGACCTTTCATAAAACGCTGTCAGTGTAGAAGCATTAGGCCTGGGCCCTGGATGCCACAGCCGAGGATCAGGCCAGCCAGGCAGACCGGAGGCCTCCTCCTGTTTGTCAGCCAGGTGTTGGGGAGGAGCGCCGGATTCTGCTCCCAGCTCTGCCACACAGCAGGTGTCACCGGGGGCAGCTCCTCTGTCTGAGTTCCGACTTCCTGCTAGAGAGCATAGGCGCGGTCCTTAGCGGAGAGGACTGGCTGTGGCCGGAGGAGGCAAACGCGCTGCGGGCAGGAGGTCCACCCCACCTTTGTTCCGTACCGGAGGCCGAGGCCGCAGCCTTCCTGATCTCCCCACATCTGGGCGAGAGGGGCCGGGCCGGGCCTCCTGCTGCTTGGCCAGAGTGACGGGCTAGGGAGGAGCTATCCATTATTAAAAATCAAATTAATTGTCTCTGCCAAGCACAAATATCCTTAACAAAGACTTCTTTTCCAGGGGACCAACTGATGTAATCAACCAGCACCAGCACAGATACTTAATTAGATTTTTGATGAAAAATTGTGTTTAATTTCAAGTATAATCAATTATTAATTACTGTAATGAGTGAGTCTGACTGGGTTTACTAATTAACTCATTTAAAAATTATGAATCACCTTTTCATTTATAATTATTTGCTCTGTCCTATCACGTTCTGGATGAGAACTGCATCGTCTCCCCACAGAAGGGGGCAGCCAGGACAGAGAAGGGAAAAGAATTTTCCTTGTGCTGGTATCCACCCAGGGCTGCCGTGTCTGCACCATTGTCCCGACGCATCCCTTTGGCATCCAGCTTTAGCTGAGAAGTTTCTGGAGAGGCCAGCAGGGGTGACCTTTCAGTTAGGGTGAGGAGACAACTCCTGGTGTTTTCATGGGAACGTAGAGAAACTGCAGTGAGCACCCAGCACCACCCCTATCCCCCACCCCCACCCCTGGCATGGACAGCGCCTCGGGCCTTGCCTTGGCCATCTCCAGCTCTCTGGGGGTGTTGCTTGGCTGTGCTGGCCTGGATGGGACTCTGGGGAGGACCCCACCCAGCTGTGGGACCTGTTCAGAGAGACAGCACCCCCCAAAGGATGTCTTTTCTGAGCAACAGCCACCGAGGTGAAGGTGTGGGGCACTCGTGAGTCTTCCAATACCCTGCCCTTTCTGTTCTGCGGAAATCTGTTGGCTGAATGAACTACAGGAAGGGAGAGTGCTAAGAGGAGAAGGTTGGTTTCAGGTCAAATTGTGAAGCTGTTCTGATGTTGGTAGCATTTAATTGTTTATAAAATAGTTTCACTTACAAAAGGTATGGTGTAGTAGTAAAAATGGCCTTGGTCACGGCTTCTCGTTACTGCTAAGAGCAGTTAGCTTTGCTCGTGTGCTGTCCACATGTTCGTTCCTTCCTGTCTTTCTTTCTTTTTTTTTAAGATTTTATTTATTTATTTGAGAGGTAGCGTTACAGACAGTGAGAGGGAGAGACAGAGAGAAAGGTTTTCTTTCCATTGGTTCACTCCCCAGATGGCTGCAATGGCCAGAGCAGCACCGACCCAAAGCCAGGAGTCTGGTGCCTCTTCCCGGTCTCCCATGTCAGTACAGGGGCCTAAGGACTTGCACCATCCTCCAGTGCTTTCCCAGGCCATAGCAGAGAGCTGAATTGGAAGAAGGGCATCCAGGACTAGAACCGGCACCCATATTTGTTTGAAAGTCAGTTACAGAGAGAGGAAGAGACAGAGATCTTTCATCCGCTGGTTCACTTCCTAGATGGCCACAACAGTCAGGGTCAGGCTGGGAGGAAGCCAGGAGCCAAGAGCTTTATCCGGGTCTCCCACATGTGATCCAAGCACTTGGGCCATCTTCTGCTGCTTTCTCAGGCCATTAGCAGGGAGCTGGATCAGAAGTGGAATAGCTAGGACATGAAACAGTGCCTGTATGGTTTGCTGACATCCCAGGTGATGGCTTAGCTCACTATGCCACCACGCCAGCTCCCACACGTCCTATTCTACTCTAAGTATTGTGTTTGATATTCTCACTGAAATCTCCTAATGATCCCATGGACTCTCATGGTCCCATTTACAGATAAGACCACTGAGACCCAGTGAGCTTAGGGAGTGAACTCACTGTCACATGGTGATGTTGGCCTGGTGCTCTTCCCAGCCCCAGCTA